CAACATGATCCTAAATGAACAGTGGGTCATCGAAGAAATTAAAAGAGAAATCAAAAGATTTCTAGAAACAAATGAAAATGATAACACAACCTATCAAAACCTGTGGGACACAGCAAAAGCAGTGCTAAGAGGAAAGGTTATAGCAATTGGTGCCTACATCAAGAAGCTGGAAAGGAACCAAACAAAAAAACTCTCCATGCACCTCAAGTATTTAGAAAAACAGCAACAAATCAAGCCCAAATCCAGAAGGAGGAAAGAAATACTAAAGATCAGAGAAGAAATAAACAGAATTGAAACAAAAAAAGAACAATACAAAAGATCAACAAAACCAGGAGCTGGTTCTTTGAAAAAATAAACAAAATCGACACACCATTGGCCCAACTAACCAAAAAAAGGAGAGAGAAGACCCAAATCTGTAAAATCAAAGATAGTAATAGAAATTAACAACAGACACAACAGAAATAAAAAGAATCATCAGAAACCAGTATAAAGAGATGTATGCTAACAAATTGGGGAACCTGGATAGATTTCTGGACACATACAACCTTCCTAAACTGAGCCGTGAAGATATAGAAAATCTAAACAGACCCATAACCATGGAAGAAATTGAATCAGTAATAAACGCACTACCGGCCGGCGCCGCGGCTCACTAGGCTAATCCTCCGCCTAGCGGCGCCGGCACACCGGGTTCTAGTCCCGGTCGGGGCGCCGGATTCTGTCCCGGTTGCCCCTCTTCCAGGCCAGCTCTCTGCTGTGGCCAGGGAGTGCAGTGGAGGATGGCCCAGGTGCTTGGGCCCTGCACCCCATGGGAGACCAGGAAAAGCACCTGGCTCCTGGCTCTTGCCATCGGATCAGCGCGGTGCGCCGGCCGCAGCGCGCCGGCTGCGGCGGCCATTGGAGGGTGAACCAACGGCAAAGGAAGACCTTTCTCTCTGTCTCTCTCTCTCACTGTCCACTCTGCCTGTCAAATAAATAAATAAATAAATAAACGCACTACCGAAAAAGAAGAGCCCAGGACCGGATGGCTTCACCACCGAATTTTACCAGACATTTAGAGAACAACTAACCCCAGTTCTTCTCAAATTATTCAAAACGATTGAAAGGGAGGGAATCCTACCAAATTCTTTCTACAAAGCCAATATCACCTTAATTCCTAAGCCCGGAAAAGACACAACAGAAAAAGAAAACTACAGACCTATCTCCCTGATAAACATAGATGCAAAAACACTCAACAAAATTCTGGCAAACCGAATCCAACTGCACATCAGAAAGATCATTCACCTGGACCAAGTGGGATTTATCCCTGGTGTGCAGGGATGGTTCAATATTAGAAAGTCAATCAATGAAATACATCACATTAATAAATTGAGAAACAAAAATCATATGATTATCTCAATAGATGCAGAGAAAGCATTTGACAAAATACCACACCCTTTCATGATGAAAACCCTAAGCAAATTGGGGTTAGAAGGAACATTCCTCAACACAATTAAGGCAGTCTATGATAAACCAAAGGCCAGCATCATATTGAATGGGGAAAAGTTGGAGGCATTTCCATTGAAACCTGGCACCAGACAGGGATGCGTGCTCTCACCATTGCTATTCAATAGAGTCCTAGAAGTGTTAGCCAGGGCCATCAGGCAAGAAAAAGAAGTTAAAGGGATACAAATGGGAAAGAGGAAGTTAAACTATTCCTATTTGCAGATGACATGATACTATATATAGGGGACCCGATAAACTCCTATAAGAGACTATTGGAACTCATAGAAGAGTTTGGTAAAGTAGCAGGATACAAAGTCAACGCTCAGAAATCAACATCCTTTGTATACACAGACAATGCCAGGGCCGAGGAAGAACTTCTAAGATCAATCCCATTCACGATACCCACAAAAACAATAAAGTACCTTGGAATAAATTTATCCAAGGATGTCAAAGACCTCTATAATGAAAACTACAAAACACTAAAGAAAAAAATAGAAGATGACACAAAAAATGGAAAAACCTACCATGCTCATGGATTGGAAGAATCAATATCATCAAAATGTCCATTCTCCCAAAAGCAATTTACAAGTTCAATGCAATACCAATCAAAATACCAAAGTCATTCTTCAAAGACCTAGAAAAAACGATGCTGAAATTCATATGGAGAAACAGGAGACCGAGAATAGCTAAAGCAATCCTTTACAATAAAAACAAGGCAGGAGGCATCACAATTCCAGACTTCAAGACATACTACAGGGCAATTAAAATCAAAACAGCCTGGTACTGGTACAAAAACAGATGGGTAGATCAATGGAACAGAATAGAAACACCAGAGATCAATCCAAACATCTATAACCAACTCATGTTCGACAAAGGACCTAAAACCAACCCCTGGAACAAGGACAGCCTCTTCAACAAATGGTGCTGGGAAAACTGGATGTCCACATGTCGCAGTATGAAGCAAGACCCCTACCTTACACCTTATACAAAAATCCACTCAACATGGATCAAAGAACTAGAGATGCACCATGACACCATGAAACTGATTGAGAGCATAGGGGAAACCCTTCAAGATATTGGAACAGGCGAAGAATTCCTGGAGAAGACCCCAGAGGCACGAGTAATCAAAGATAATATAAACAAATGGAATTACCTCAAATTGAAGAGTTTCTTTACAGCAAAGGAAACAGTCAGGAAAGTGAAGAGGCAACCAACAGGATTGGAGGCGTTATTCGCAAACTACACAACAGATAAAGGATTAACAACTAGAATCTAGAAAATGATCAAAAATACCACAGAACCAAAACAAACAACCCAATAGAAAATGGGCCAAGGACCTTAACAGACATATTTCAAAAGAGGAAATCCAAATGGCCAACAGACACATGAAAAAATGCTCAGGATCCCTAGCCATCAGGGAAATGCAGATCAAAACCACAATGAGGTTTCACCTCACTCCAGTTAGATTGGCTTACATACAGAAATCAACCAACAACAGATGCTGACAAGGATGTGGGGGAAAAGGGACACTAATCCACTGTTGGTGGGAATGCAAACTGGTAAAGCCACTATGGAAGTCAGTTTGGAGAGTCCTCAGAAACCTGAATATAGCACTACCACAGGACCCAGCCATCCCACTCCTTGGAATATACCCAAATGGAATTAAAGGGGAGAAAAAAAGAGCCATTTGCACCTCAATATTTGTTGCAGCTCAATTCACAATAGGTAGGACATGGAATCAACCTAAATGCCCATCAACGGATGACTGGATAAAGAAACTATGGGATATGTACTCTATGGAACACTATACAGCAGTAAAAAACAATGAAATCCGGGCATTTACAACAAAATGGAAGAAGCTGGAAAACATCATGCTGAGTGAAATTAGCCAGTCCAAAACGGAAAAATATCAGATGTTCTCTCTGATCAATGGCAACTAAACAAGCATCTAAAATGATACCCATTTAAGTGACATGGACACTATGAGAGACAATGACATGAGCAGCCCTGATCTAGACTGTTGAGGAACAACTTACTATTTTATTCCTTTTAGTATTTTTGCTGTTGTTGTTGTTGCTCTGTTTGTTCTACATAAGACCACTGGTTGAACTCTGTAATCAATGCACAATCATTCTTAGGCGTTAAAAATTAACAGAAAAGTGATCTCTGTTAAACATAGGAGTGGGAATGAGAGAGGGAGGAGATATATAGGTTGGCACAGGCTCACTCGGACTTACCTCCAATGGTGGAACTAGAAATGTGCCAGGGGATTTCAGCTCAGTCTTACCAAGGAGGCAGGTACCAATGCCAGCGCACTTGGTAAAGTGATAAGTATAAATACACAACCGATCAAAAAGATAGGGTAAGTGTCAAAGGGATTTCACAAATAAGAACAGTGTAAGCAAATAATGAAGGATAGAATTAAAAGGCAGAGTATGATCCTGCGGGGGAAGCAGGACACACAGCAGACTCATAGAATGGCAAATGCCCAAAACAGCACTCCTGCCTCAGAATCAACCCTTGGGACATTCGGATCTGGCTAAAAGGTCCATGAGATTCTCACAGGCATGGGAAGCCATGACACGGTGGCAAAAAACAATCTAAATGAAAGATCCTAGTGAACAAGACCCCAGTAGAAGGAACAGGCCATCAAGGAGGGAGGCGCCTTTCTCTGAAGGGAGGAAGGAACCTCCACTGTGATACGGCCTTGACTAAACAAGTTCAGAGCTGATGAACTCAAGGGGCTTCCATAGCCTAGACAGCTCATAACAAGAGTCTCGGGTGATTGCTGATGTCATAAATAAGAGTGCCAATTGTTAAATCAACAACAGGAGTCACTGAGTACAGGCTCCCCACGTAGGATCTCTGTCCTTAATATGTTTTATTATGAAACTTATAAACAACACTACTAGTCGAACAATACCCTATACCTTGTGTGATTGTGTGAGTGCAGCCTGTTGAAATCCTTGCTTAGTGTATACTAAGTTGATCTTCTGTATATGAAGGTAATTGAAAATGAAACTCGATGAAGGGAGGGATGGGAGAGGGAGTGGGAGAGGGGAGGGCCACAGGAGGGAGGGAGGTTTGGGGGGGAGCCACAACAATACAAAAGTTGCACTTTGTAGGCCGGCGCCGTGGCTCAATAGGCTAATCCTCCACCTTGCGGCGCCGGCACACCGGGTTCTAGTCCCGGTCAGGGCGCCGGATTCTGTCCCGGTTGCCCCTCTTCCAGGCCAGCTCTCTGCTATGGCCAGGGAGTGCAATGGAGGATGGCCCAGGTGCTTGGGCCCTGCACCCCATGGGAGACCAGGAAAAGCACCTGGCTCCTGGCTCCTGCCATCGGATCAGCGCGGTGCGCCGGCTGCAGCGGCGGCCATTGGAGGGTGAACCAACGGCAAAGGAAGAGCTTTCTCTCTGTGTCTCTCTCTCACTGTCCACTCTGCCTGTCAAAAATAAAAAAAAAAAATAAAAAAAAAAAGTTGCACTTTGTAAATTCACATTTATTAAATAAAAAAATAACTTATGGGGAGGAAAAAGCCATTGTAATTCATAAACTGAACTTTGGAAATTTTATATCTATTAAATAAAAGTTAAAAAAACAAATACAGAGCCGGCGCCGTGGCTCAATAGGCTAATCCTCCACCTTGCGGCGCCGGCACACCGGGTTCTAGTCCCGGTTGGGGCGCTGGATTCTGTCCCGGTTGCCCCTCTTCCAGGCCAGCTCTCTGCTATGGCCAGGGAGTGCAGTGGAGGATGGCCCAGGTGCTTGGGCCCTGCACCCCATGGGAGACCAGGAAAAGCACCTGGCTCCTGGCTCCTGCCAGGATCAGCGCGGTGCGCCGGCTGCAGCGGCGGCCATTGGAGGGTGAACCAACGGCAAAGGAAGACCTTTCTCTCTCTGTCTCTCTCTCTCACTGTCCACTCTGCCTGTCAAAAAAAAAAAAAAAAAAAAAAACAAATACATAATTGTAGCTGCAAAAAAATGTTTGATTAACATATATGGGGTATGAATTCACAATTTTTTGTGCTAAAATAAACATGTCTTTTAATTGCATTTTTCCATGAAAAAAAAAAAAGAAAGTGCATCACTGCCCTCCTGTTCTGAGGTACATGAGGCAGCACAGTAGACAAATCCACACACACAGAATCTCTGAATGATGAAGATCCACCGTGCTCATGACCTGAGCCATTCATGAGCTTTCTTGCCATTCATGAGCTTCCAAGAGGGAACCTGTGGAGAAGCACTCATGCTGTATCTTGCTTGCTCCTGGATTTTCCCCTTGGTTTTGAAGTCAGCCTTTCCCTGGCTTCCCAGAGAGTGACTCCTTGTAGGGAAGTTACAAGCCCTGAGGGTGTGGCCCTCAGTAGAAGTGCCAGGCTTGGAGCCAGGTCTTCCTGGAGTGCCCAGTCTGAAGGACAGCTGACTGGCCAGGGCTGGAGGACTGGGAAACAGCTATAGCCTCTGCCTCTCCCTGTGTAGATTCACCGCTTGCTACTCTGCAATGAGGGTGGGAACAGTCTTTCTCTTGCTGACATTATCGGTGACATACTGCTCAGGAGTGGCGCATGTTACAGGATGTGGCAGGTTAAGGTAAGTTTCTCGAATCAGAGACATCCAAGTTTACTACTGATTCAGCCCCTTAACCTACCATGTGAATCCTATGAATATATTAATCTAGTCAATCTTTAGTTTCTTTGTAAGATGATGGGTAACAGTTAAGTCTGCTTCTTAGAATCTTGTGAAGATTAAGTGTGCTAATTTGTGAAAAGTGCTTAGGACAAGCCCTATCATATGTATGCACTAGTAAATAGTTTTAAACAGTTTTTATATATAAATTCAAAAAATAGTCTTTGACCTTTTTTTACCCTACATAACTTAATGAGTGAGTATGGACTTTGGAGTGATGATCATAATGATCTCAAACCTATTCCCATCTTCTCCTTTTTCTATCTGGGTGACTTTGGGCAAATTGTTTAACTTCATGGCATCTTAGCCTCCTAGGCTGTTAAAGAAGAAAAAAAGAAGCCCAATGGTCAGATTGGAGGATTAAAGGACATAACACACTTAACACAGCTACAGGGTGCAGGGGATGGGAGTCGTAGAGGGGAGATGAGGAATTCTGCTTGAGAAAGGCTCTTTGCTTCCTAATATTTCTGATTGGGATGTTGCCTGGGCTCATGGAAGAGGGTAACTGCAGGGAAGAGCCTGTGCTTATGTATCATGTGTCTGCACTCATTAGTAAGACGCCCTGAGCTGCTGGGAGGCCAACCACAATGACAGAAGACCCCAAAGGGACAGGCAGGTCTCCCTGTGGGCTTGCAGAAACAATGCTAGGAGGTTGCTTTACAACCAGCAATGTGTCTGCATGGTCACATCTCACTACAGGGGATGATTCAACCTGGGCGCTGCCCATGGGCACTTGGAATGGCCACCACATGCATGCCACGTCTTCTTATCAAGACACGCAGCGCTGACCCTCATTCTGCAGCTGACCTTTCTTTCCCCATGGTCTCTCCTAGACATCTCCTTCCCCCAAGTTGTACAGGTGGATAAATCTTCCTCTGGTAAATCTGCATGCTGGGAAAATTGGCTGGCCTTGCTAAGTGTGATTGGAGCTGTTTGTTTTTAAGCTGCACATAAGTATCAGGAGAGATTTATAGCACTTTCCTTTTTGCCGAATCAACCCACTGGAAGCCATTAAAGTTTTATTGTTCTCTTCAGATGCCTGGCCAGAGTGGAATTGAGGGGGTCTGTAGTTGGAAAAACTCTTTCTTCCCTTGTCTTATTCACAGGGAGCATTGTAGGGCTGGGCATAAAAGGGATACATCGTTTTGGCCCCAACACATTTCCAAACTGTGCTGAGCTCTCACAATGTCTGTTCCATGTGGATCACTCTGCAGGCTGAGCCTTCCCACTCCTATCAAGACCTCCCCAAGGTCCCACCTCTTGCAGGAAGTCCTCTTGGGTTAACCAAAGAGAGGACGTGAACTTTCCTGACCCTCTCTTTACCCCCGTTGCCTGCACCACAAGCCCCTTTTCAGCTCATTTATCTTTGCACCAGCTTCTGACTTCCCTCTTCTTCTGACTTGCAGCTGCCTCTCAGTGTTGGGTAAATGCACAGATGTTGTGGTCACAAAGCCTTAAATTGTGGAATCCTAAAACTGGAATAAGTATTAGAGATCCTTTCATTTAACATAAGCATTTCCATTTTGTCAGGCTAGCACAGTGATTGAGGTATTCTTAATGCCTGCCTTGAAGAAAGCCTTTGCAGGAGACAGTCTCATACCAGATTCTATGACATCAGCTTTCTCCCACTCTCTGTTTGGGCGTTGAGCTGAGATAGGTAGACACGGCTTGGTTTCCACTGGGGGAAGATAGGTCATCCCTTGTTAATCAGAAATCATAATTATTTCACATTTCTTGTGTGCTGGGCACCAGAGATGTTCCTGAGACAACAGAGCTGTTGGCCCTACATCTGGGGGGCCCACGGCACGTCTGGAATGAGAGGATGGCCTGGGCTTTGCAGCCATGGACTCAAGCAGATGGAGAAGCAGAGCCTCAAGCAAAAATCTATCTTCAACACATAAAGAGACTACATGCAGTAATAACAGTAGTGATAATAACAACAATTAACACTTGAACATCTAAATACGTAGATTATTTCACTTTTATCCTGATAGAAATGTCACAAGCTAAGTTTTAGCTGCACATTATCTTTAAGGACAGCAGAGCTTTTCAAAAGGGGATAGGATGCCTGGCCCTAACTTGAACCTCAGGAAGTGGCTGGGCCCAGACTGGATGCTGGCCGAAAGCTCCATGTATTGCACCCTCTCTGTTCTGTCTCACTGCAAGCCCCGTTCCCCCAGGAGGGCTTTCACACTCATCTATTTTTCAGTGTCATTTCAAGCAGATGTCTAGTCTTGCATACACAGTTTCGTTTTAAGTATTAAAGCTTTAGATAGAATATAAAATTTTAGCATTGGGTAGAGGAAGCTTGACATTCATGTCTGTCTCGAAAGAAGTCACTTCCCAGAGGGAGCTGGGTCAACTGTTACTCCTAACTCATTCCGGTTTTACAGGAATGACAGAAAAAATTGCAAAGGAATTGAGAGCTGAGGTCAGAGTTCTGGGTTCAAATTCTTGCCTCTGCCACTGGCTTGCAAACTGTTTAGCTTTCTGCATGCCTCAGTTTCTCCATGTATAACATGGGGATGATCAAAGAACTACTTTGCAGGCTTACTGTGTTGACCAATTACAAGTACACCTTTGAAACAGTAATGACTATTCCTGGCACATAATAAATCTTCAATAAAATTCTAATTTTTCATCTTCAAGTGTCCCAAGTCATTCTCAAACATTGTCACATTTAGCTTTGTAAACTGTCCTTGTGCTGTAATCTAATTAAAAGAGTACTCTCAGAGAATATGAAGGACACATGTTCTGAGGCACTGGAATGAACCCGGAGCAGAGCAGAGAATGTCAGATTCCTCGTTCTAGACTCGCTGGAGAAGCAGACGCCTTCTTGTTCTCCCTAGGAGCCCGGGTATTTCACAAAAGACAGGAATTCTAGTACTTTACAAGAAAGAGGATGATGTTTCTTGTCTGACTTCCTGTCTGGTATTTTGAGCATCTGAGGTCAGGGAAACGAGGACTCTGGGAACTGCCCTAGACGTTCATAACCAAGGCCAAATCTTCAAAGCCTCAGTTTCCGCATCATTGAATGGAGCTGTCATGAAGATCGAAGCCCTCTAGCCTCAGAGCTGCTAGCCTGGCGACTGGGACTAAGCAGCTGCCCACGTGTCCCCTAAAGCTGCTGCCCAACCCCAATGTCCAGGCTGCAGCACCAGACTAGAAAGCAGGATCCCTGAAGTTTCTTTCTGAGCTTGCATACTTGTCTGGTAGGTGATCAGATCCGTGGGCTCCACCAGGGCAAATCACACAGAGGCATGTGTGTCAGTTACTTGTGAATATGCAGGATGATGAATCATACCCAAACTTGGAGGATTCAAATAGCAAACTCATCATCTCACAGCTTCTGTGGATCAGGAATTTGAGAGAGGCTTCCGTTGATGTTTCTGCTTCCAAATCCCTCAAGAGATCCCAGCAGGGGTGGGCACGTGGCTTAGCAGTGAAGATGCTGGTTAAGTTGCCCTTATCCTATCTTGGACAGAATGCCTGGGTTCAAGCTCTGGCTCTATTCAAGATTCTAGGTTCTTCCCTAGATGTACCCTGGGAGGTGACAGGTGATGTTTCAGGTAGCTGTGTTCCTGCCACCCATGCGGGAGACCTGGACTGCATTTTTGACTCCTGACTGTGGCTTGGACCATCCTCAGCTGTTCCAGGCATTTGGTGTGTGAATCAGCAGATGGGCAATTTTTCTTTGTCTCAAATAAATAAAATGAAAGTCAGCTGAGGCTCCACATTTGAACCAACTCAGGGGCTGTCAGCTTGAACTTCACTCTCTCATCACAAGGGCCTCTCCATAGGCAGGTAGCCCCCTCCCCCACTCTAACCCAACCGAGCAGATGACACAAGAGGGAAATGAGTGGCATCGTGGCCTGCTATGAGTAGGCTCAGAGCCCTGTACCCTACTTCTACTTTGTGGTACCCTTTACAAATCACTGAATCCTGCTCACAAGCTATGAGGAGTCAGTTCCAAAAGGGCTCGAGTGCCTACAGGTGGAGACCACAGGGCCATCTTGGAGGCTGGCCTGCCTCTCTCTTTATTACCTCTTTTAACCCAGTGCTCTGGTCTTTCTTGCTCTCTCCTAATCTGTGCCTGCAACTCGGGCCTTCCTGTGGCTCTGGCTCTTGTCCAGCCCAGGCAGCCTGGAACAATTAAGCTACACAGACCAATTCAGACCTGACTGTCATGGGGAGAGTCATGCCTCCACAGCGAGGAACATTGGAGAGGGTTGTGGTAAGGGTGGGTGGCAGGAGGAGTTGCCCCCGAAAGATCATAACTGAATACAGTCGGGCTTTGCAGCATGCTCTCAGCCTCCCTCTAGGGATGCTTTGGTGAGGCATACAGAGGGCTTGCTTTTGGGGTAAGTGACGGGCACTAGGACTGATGAAAAGTGAAGCCAACAGAAATGAATTCCCTTGCATCTCAGTCTGATATTCAGTGCCAGAAAAGAGACAGAAAACAGGACCATGACTTTCATCCCTCATCTCATTGAGTTCACCCTTTAGTTTATTTAACGTGGTTCTTGCTAATTGTTGAGTGAGGTGTTAACATTTTCAACCCAAGTTCATGGTCTAAACTAACTTTTGACAGTTCCAAGCTTGTGGCTTGGAAAGGGAAGGAAGGAGAGGTGGACCCCAAACAGGTTCACTCCCTAAATGCGCACAATGGCTAGACTTGAACTGGAGCAAAATTGGGAGCTGGGGATGAGATCCAGGTCTCCCATGGGGTTAGCAGGACCCCAGTTACATGAGCCACCAGCATCTGCATAGGCAGGAAGCCAGAATCAGGAGCCAGATCTGGGTTCTGAACCCCAGGTATTTGATATGGCATGGGGTTATCTTTACTGGCATCTTAATCACAAGGCCAGATGCTCATCCCAGCAAATGTTTATTGAGCATTCACT